CTATGTGAAGCTTCGGAACTATTGCAGTACTACCGGAAAACGTCAAAAAGTCGGCTAGAACTGCCAGCACCCCAGAGTTTACTCTTGTAATGCGGTTCTTGTACTCAAGTTTAAAAATTGTTTAAAAATAGTTAGAGGCCGGAACTCTTGCTAAAACATATCAGGAACTGTAGAGCGCTTCGAGAACTGTAAAATAAAATTATCAAAATAATTTTTTTTTAATGTTGCGGTGCCGTGGTAAGTTGGCACCTCATATTTTAAAAAGATCATTTTTTTTATTAATTCGACGGAACTATTGCTATAACCTATCAGGAACTATAGAACTATTGTGGGTGCAAATGGAACTCATGTCAAAACTTGCGGTGCTAAAAAATGAGGTGCCAACTTCACGCACGCCTCGAACACGCTGTCGTCGATTCTTGGCGTTCTCGTAAACTATGGCCGCCGCCACTTTTAGGCACGGCCGCCTCTCTCGTTACCTCGCTATCTCTGCGCGCAAATTGTTTTTGCTATCGTCGGGAATCTAATCTGATTTAATCCAACAACTATATCGAGACTCGACTTGACATAATCATAGTTATCTAATAATAACGTTAGCCAACTCCCGCGACTCCCAATAATAATTTGATTCAAGTTAGTTTATTAACTCTTACAGTCTTGGCGGTTTTTTTTTTTGTGATTTTTTTACAAATTTTTGAAGTAGAACTTTCTCACACATATTCAAGGATAGACCAGTAAAAAGCATGACACCTCCGCGGCGCCATTAGAGTGACTCCCGCGATCGTACTATTTCTTTGAATTTTTTTCTTTCTTAATCATCTCTATTTTATATTAAAAATTATGAGAAAATATAAATCAATTAATTTTTAATAAAATAATGCAAAAATATGCGGTGTATCTGATGGCAAAATCGCTGGTGTGCATGCCAATTGGGTCAGACTATCAGATATCCTGTATGTGATAATAAGAAAAAAGTGGAATTATAAAAAAAAATGTATATATATATATATATATATATATATTATTATTATTAATCTTTTCCATAAAAATTAGGAAAATAATTTTTTAA